TAAACTGTCAGCACATGCAGGAGCCCGGAACATTTACATTCGAAGATAATGTGTGTTTTTAATAACTTAGCTGATTTGTTGTCACGTCAATTTATTACACGTTCTTATTAGAATATTTTGAAATAATGCCTTAGGCCTATGCAAATATTTAAATAAAATGAATAATGTTAAACTCTACTCTTTGACAAGCAGTCCTGATCATTCAAGACCCCACCATGATTAATATTGACTACAATCATACCGATAATTAAGTTAATCTATTATATTTGTTTCAGGGCAAAAAGTGCTGCTGTCGCAACCATCAATGATTAGGATTGGAGTGGACGAAGAAACATTTATTTCCATTTTATTTGATTTTATAAGTTTTTGTAATTTCTTTACATAATTTGGTTTTAACTTGCATAGAATATAATAAATAGTTTTGTCTAAACTTTGAGTTTTTATCCACCAAAAGTTGAAAAATAGATTTATTTTTTAATGTAAAATTTATAGTTGAAATAGATAACTGAACCAGACACTTTGTGTGTCACCAAAGATTGCGGCTTTTCACTGTTTTAGTCAAATAATCGTACATAAATCGAATTACAGTTTTATATCAAATTGATCATCAATTGGACTAAATATACACATCAATGTTTGTGACGTTTGTACATTCATTGAACATTAAATAGTCTCAATTTGTACAAACATGAATGTGCATATGATGTTCACTAGATGTCCAATTGAATCTTAATTTAACCTAAATTGAATAACAATTTGATGTAAAATTGATCATCAATTGATCGAGATACGCACATCATATGTATATCGATGTTTGTGACGTTTGTACAATAATTGAACGTTAAAGTCGTAATTTGTACAAACATGAATGTGCATACGATGTTCAGTTGAACATTCTTGAACATCAATTTAATGTTCAATTGATGTACATGTGTTATATGGGTAGGAACATATTAAAGTGATGCAAACAAATGTTATGTAAACGGTTAAGGCCATTTACCAAATAAAAATATAGACATATGGAATATAAAAATGAAGCTTAGAGTGTGTAGATTTTCTGAAAAGTTTTGATATGGACAAACTCCCTAAGAGGTCTGCCCCACAGACTGATTTCCAAAGGGCTACGCCTTGCATGTTTTGGAAGTTAACGTTATTTGAGTAATTTAGTGAACAACAGCTGGCCAATGCAATTTACAATATAGTTTGTTGGTTTATGTTCTTAAAAGAGGTGCGGTGAATAGACAGTGAAGCTATCTCTAGCCGTTTGATACAAGTGAGTGGTTAAAGGTGTTCGAAACACGATGAATATGAGATTAACAAACCATGTATGTCGTTCGTTCCAAGAGGTTGTAACCGATTTTTAACAGGTCGCCATTTCATTGACAAGTAAGTAAAGTATTAAAGACGTGAAAGAGAGCGGCGAGTTCAGGTACAACCCTACCCACCTTAGGACGTAAGGTTTGAAGGCTCCAATGCTTTTTTACCATCCTTTCAGATGACAATTTCTCGAACTTGGGCCCTTTAAATGAAATATAAAGTCAAAGTTGATTAAATTAATTTAATGGTGGCTTCTGTACACCCGTGAATTTGCGGGTAGAACCTCTTATATTGTTAATAGCAGTTTTCTTAGACTTAATAATATATTTTATCTAACAAAGTAATGTACCGGTAATGTCAAATCTGACGTGAGAAGCGAAGAGAGGATGATATGTTGTGTAAGTGCCGTATCTTTTCCTGCAATTTCGTTGATCCTTTTTATTCCAAAAACTACAGTTTGAAACTTTTTTATGCCAAATTTATTTTCAAAGTTAAGGTAAGTTTTTTGATCTATTGTGACTCATACAAATTAGTTGAGGTCTATTATTGTTTTCAATTTAGGATTGTTGTTATCTTGCACTAGGCCTATATCATTATTCAGGTGGAAAGGTTGGTGAGATTTACATCCCTGGGTAAATCTTGACACCATCTTTGACCAAATGAAATTATTTGTACAGGAATATTATAGTAACTTAGCCTACCCGTTATAGCTTGCCTATATTCGATAAGGTACGTTAGGTGTAGCCTACCTATACATTATTCAAAATTCTTTATTGGGAGGATACAACTTAATAAAAAAAGCAAGACTTGTCCACTTTAAACTATCAATAGTGCTGATTTATTAATGGCATTCTTAAAAATTAACTCCTAGACAGAAACTGGCCTAAGTTAATATAAATTGGCTTTGGAACCGTAATGAAAATGAATGCCTTTGAACTTGAACCAGTCTTTAAAAGCTAAACGAAAAAGGGACCTAAATAAACCATTTTTTGCCAAGTTAACCAATCATTTCAAGCTAAAGATTTCTATTTCAACCGGTATATTTAACATAATTGATAAATTATTGATCTTATTTCATGGAAGCCCCTGAGTCTAAGTTTGGCAATGTTTTTGTAAATAGAGTATAAGCATGGTATACGTTAATACCTTGGATAAAGAACACTCAAACTGATTAATTTTTATTTATGTTAATACAGTATGAGTATGTTCCCATAGTGAGGGATTTGGGATTTCGCGGTATATTCCATATACACAACACACTTGTCAATTTTTTTCAAGTGTCTGTCGTAACATAACCACAAACCAACCAGTCCGATTACGATGACGTAAACGTACGACTACGATGGGCAAATATCGATTGTAGTAGGATCTATCGATTATATCGATAGTTGGTGACTGACGACTCGAGTACTCGACCGAATCAACGATGACGTCATGGCCTGCTGTGCTCTCTAATACAGCGCTGTTCACGGAGGAAATTTGAACTAAATTTGCCTCATTTGTACCTCCCTTCAGTCAGACCCGGAGGGAAGGAGCACAAAGCGATCAGTGTTGCCGTTGCGGTGCTGCCAATCCAATTCAAAGAAATTACCCCCCTCTTGAAAAAATTACCACCCTTCTTAAAAAATAACAGTAAAAGCCCAAAAGCGTGTACAGATTTTAAAATAGGCATTTTGATTGAATTATTGGCTACTTTGTATTTACACCAAATTATTATATTCAAAAATAACTAATTACACAAGTTTACCAACATTTTAAAACTTTCTCTTATTATTTTAATAAGCTTTTATTCTAAAAGTCAAAGAAGAATTCAAAGAACATAAGACTAAAATGGTAAGTGACTCCCCGTAGATAAAAAACATGCTGTAGATCAAACATAATCCCTTGGTAGATACAGTAGTAGATTTCCCATCATTATGTAGCCCAGTCAATGAATACAATAAAACACCATTTTCGCAACTAAATGGGGGGAAGCTGGATTTTTTATATTTGATAGAATCTTATGAGAGGTGTATTTTCCCCAAATTCTCCACTTCTACCTCTTGAGCTCCAAAACCTACCCCTCCACCAACACTTCTACCCCACCCCCTCCAAACCTAGAAATTGCAGTGTTTTCACTTAATTGACCACAAGTAGAATACTGTTAGCTATAGTGTTGCAATTTATTTTGTTTTATTTCTGATTAGTTTTCCCAAAACTTTGGTATTCATAATTTTTTCCAAACCCAGTACTTGGAAAGATGGTGAAGAAGCTGGGCGTCGGCAAAGAGAGCGCATCGTTGAATACGTCGTATGTGCGCTAGTTGAACACCAACACCGTGTTTCGCTCCGTCGTCGCATCTAAGCCCAGTAAATAAACGCACAAACTGTCTTTTTTCGGAGCTAAAAAGTGGAAAGCTGGTAGCTGGATTTGTTATGTGAAAGAACCACTTAAGACGTGTATTTTCGAAAAGTAGTCTCCTATTCTCCACCTCGAGCTTTTTACCCCACCCCCTGCAAACCTGGAAATTGCAGTCGTTCGTTAACCTTCTTGAACATAATTCAAATTCTACGCGTGCTATCGTATTGAAATTTAATTTGTGTAATTTATAATTTGTTTATCTATAAATTGTGTACCAAAGGTATTCTTCTAAAAATTATTTTCAAAGAGATATACCATTTTAACTTTTTGTTTTACCCTCTATATATTTTTTCTCAAATAAAATACGCAAAATGTTTCCAAAAAAATGTTAGTAGGTACCTTTCTTATGGTTTACAAATACATATTTGGTTAGTCGTCTGGCCGAACTGATTTAGTGTGGGGCGACGGGGGGCGTCGGCAAAGAGAGCGCGCATGAGAGCGCGTGGATAAAGCATTCTTTTGATGCATCACCCTAAGTGCACTGGCACCGCTAAATTCTCAACTGTTTGATACAAATCCTAAGACTTACTACTTTGTACTTTACTACCAAAACAATCTGTTTTCAAGCTAAACTGTGAACTGCAAAAAAACCTATTATTATTTAGATAGAACCCAATCATTAGTACTATTTATTATTGTCAGTTTTGGTTCAGGTAAATTATTGTTTTCCTACTTACTTGGTATACTTGCAAATTTACAATGGGGTGGGAAGTTTATTGTGTTGGCTAGTCTATGATAAAACCATCATAGATAAAACTAGTCTATGATAAGACCCAGGCACCACCAGAAAGCTTTATACAAAAATAAAGTTTATACAAGGGTCCGGGAAAGAGGAAAATTTTGGAAATACGATAGAGCTATGGATATTGAAGTTTCGTCCAATGGTGATACTATAATTTTTAAAAGGACATTTTACAATCGGATGAAAAGTGAGAAGTCTACCTGCACTACATATTCAAAGACAAATGGTGAAACGCATAGCTGTGTGAAACCATAGATAAATCATACTCATACTCCCTTGTGTAGGTTAGTCTATGGTGAAACGTTACGACATAGATAAAACATGTTTTATCTATGGTTACGATATGTCATTTTTCTCCCAGATGCTTAGAGGGGGAAAATTTTAGTTGCTCCGCCGCTCCGCGTCGTCTGTCGTTTTCCGGTCCCATCTCCTTCTGACGCTGAGGTTCGTCGTCTGTCGGTCTGTTTGGTCTGTCACTGTCCTGTCAGTACTCAGTGCTGTCTGCTGTCACTTCCACTTCACTTGCCTCTATTAACCAACTAGTCACAAAGTTTAACATTTTGCTGTTTATAAAAGAAGAAATCAAAATTTGGTCTTTTAAATAATCATTACATATTATAATTTTAAAACATTTGTTACCCTGAGGAATTATATATATTTTTTAAAATTAAGAACAGAAACGAAATATGTCTAGCTCTCCGTAATTTTAGGTTAGTGTCAAATTCTAGTGGTTTGTGGTTTTTTTACTGTCAGTTCAGTTCAGTAGTGTTGCAGTTCATCAGCAATTGGTTCTTCTATTTTGATTTGTTTTATTTACTTTGTTTGGGTCCCTGTTCTGTTTTCAATGCATGCACATTATTTTCAGTTGGATTCTATGGATGACGAAGAGAGATCATTAAACTTGTGTTGTTGTGAATATATTGATGCAAATGATGAAAGAAATCACATATTAGGGTGCTGCTGCAACTGCTCTGAGCTAGACATGTGTATTGATAAGTAAGTACCTACAGCATGAAACTTGAGCCTAAACTGGAGGTCAGCATTTTTACCAAAAATTGCATGCCCTGAATGAAGCCTAGCTTGACTTAGAGTGGTCCATATAAAAGAGTTTCTACCACTGAAACCTGCCTATCTATTTAGCCTAACTAAACAATATTAGTAAATTAAACTGAATCGGGCACATAACTTAATGCCAAGTTAGCACCTTTCTTAACCCCCCCCCCCCCCTATTGTGCACAATGAAGATCGTTGTGGTACAAGCAAGCTCTGCAGAAGGTCTGAAATCCACCAATAAATTATCTGTGCCCTTCAGCTTACAATTAATTATCTGTGGCTGGTGCTCTCCACCAAGCACAGGGATCAAGCCGTTGTGGTACTTATAAGAAGGTCCGAAAATCCACCAATGCGAAGGAGCAGGGCAGCTGGCAGTCTGCTGATCCACTTTGCAATTGAGCAAGGCGCTGAGCAGTATCAAGACTGACGTTTTCCCCAGTGATTCCCTAATATTTCTGGCACTGGGCCCATCTGGGTCCTTGACCCCCAGAAGATACCGATCATGAATTCAGACGTGAACAACGGTTTTGTGAGGGTGCCTCCGGAGCAGAGTCTAACTTTTTTCCTATCATAGAATTTTGAAAAATTTTTCTGGATAATTTTGAAAGGTAGATTGTGCCACTATTAAAAGGGTCCTATTAATGCAGACTCAGTCAAATCATATGCCAGACAATAGCCTATATCCTGTCCTGATACAGACCAGCCGCCAGCTCGGCCTGTCTGTACTGTCCTATCATAGCAGGCACGGCAGAGCACACCTTCTTCTTTTGTGACAGTTGGCATCCCCGCTGAGCCTCTTTGATCTTAGAGATTGGCGTTGAAATCACTCCCGACAATCACATCGTTGGAGCCATGCTCCAGGGAGAGGTCATCTGGAACTGTGTCATGCAGTTCACTGAGGCCATACTTTAGGCTAAGAAGGTCGCTCTCATTCGGAAAGCCCTAGTGGCATTGGCATAGTTAAAAAGGCCTAGCCTGAAGTAATGTGCTAAACAGGTCCAGGCTAGTGTCCTAGGAGATGAGGGTTTTTTTAGCTGGTAGTCCGGGGACTAGTGATGTGCGATACGTATCGTATCGTATCGGAATATCGCGATACGCGAGGGACAATACGATATTTCGATACGATATTTGAAAAACGATACGTATCGTATCGCCTAAAACGATATTTGTATTTATATCGGCACATAGAGCGATACGATTCATGTCAAAAAGATATTTTTAAGCTTTTTTGTGCAGGCCGAGCAAACTGCAAAATCTGTACTCTGTGGTTGTGTAGTTTGAAATTGGAGTTTTTGACGTCTGTATTTTTGGTTTTTACTTGATAATATACCAGTCCCATCCCAGTCCAGTCCATTTCCACTAGCGTGCTATCTAGCACTAGCAGTCCAGAGTGTGGGAACTGTCTGTGGCAATTACATTAATGTATCTGCATCCTAAAATGCTATGGGAAGGATAGGGAAACAGGTCCAAGACGTAGGGAGTTGTGAAGGAAGTAGTAAAGGTGAGCAGTGTGGAATGGAAATGGATTTATGTATCTGCAATACTAAGACTGTTTTCAGAGTAAACTAATGATTTTCCCCGAGCAAAGCTTGGTCCCAACTCCCCAGGTACTTATATAAATTTGCCGTTTCTAGGTTAGGTAGGGGAGGGGGGAAACGATACGATACGTATCGTTTTTCGATATTTTTGACGATACGATTCGCGTATCGCGATACAGACGCCCGATTCAATTTGGCGATACGATATTTTTTTACGATACGTATCGTATCGCTCCGCATCGTATCGCTCCGCGTCCGTATCGCCCATCACTACCGGGGACATTGACCCGCAGGAGTCCGGCACTACTGAAGGGACATTGAGCACCTCAAGTGCGTAAATTAATTTTTACCTCCTCCCCACAAGAAAAGGACAAGCCAAACGTGCAACTGGTTACGTAATCAATCAACAATAACTAAAATCGATTTGAAAAAGATTAACGATAAATAAAATCTGTATAGGCTAGTCTTAAATAAATATTTAATGATAGAAATTAATAAATTAGAGAAATATTCAACTAATATATACATTTACAGTACCTAGGCCTATATGATACTATTATTAGCAGTTTTATTTGAGAATGCGGTAAAAACAAGGAAGCAAAAAAGGGAAACAACATCAACAAAACATAAGCTCCAAACAGCTCTCTGACTGATGATTATTAACAGTCTGCTTCTGCTTCCTTTCTGCTTTCTTAATTAGGCAGACGCTGTTAAACGCACTATTTCTTTGTTTAAATTAAATTTATTAAATCTATTTTAATTGTCAAAAATATTTATTTTCATTGTAAAAGCGAACCACTAACAGCAACTTCTTTCATCGTCCCATTGTATTTTGGGAATTTTTTACTTTATCCTACAACATTAAATTTGATCAAGGCTGGCCAGTGGGTATTCCTTTTTACTTACCCAACCCCCAACTTTTAAATTGCATTAATTTTCGCTGTTCATAAATTAATCCACACAGCATGGTTTAAATATTGTAATTAAAATTTGGCTTTTTTATACTGATGTTTTAAATTTTTTTTTTTAAATAGTCCTATGAAAAATTATAATTTATTAATAAAAAAACAAGAATTATCTTTTCTTTTGCGTGAATGTACATTACACGCAATAGATGAAAGTCAAATGGATTAATGGATATAATAGTAATATTAATAATAGTAATAATAGTAATAATAGTAATATTAATAAGTTTGATAAAGGTAAGGTCAAGAACAATAAATAAAACAGGTAGGCCTAGGCCTACATTGTGAATATGTATGCAACGCAAGAAGGGCATCTTAAAATTATGACAGATCTTCAAGGAAAATACAGTGGCATAAAAATTACGCTGCCCAGAAATTAAATGTTGAGATAATAAGGCAATGTAGAGAAATGATAAGGAGCAATGAATGGAGGGCGAATAACAATAGTTGACTAAGATCTCAAAGGTCAGGTTGTTGGCCCGGCTCTGTCAATCTATGCAGACGTTTTGTACAAACTTGTGCGTCACCTGTCACTGTTCACTTATCAGTCACTTGTGTAGTTCAACATATAAATGTATTGCCACTGTAATTTATTTACTGACAACAAAATCTACAGTATTACCAGATGTTTCCATTGACACTTAAATTGACGTCAATTAAGTAATCTGGTATCAGTTAAACTTGTCTTATTTAAGCGTGAACTAAAAATCAGTTATTAAGTCAGTTAACTATATCTATTATGTTTTTCAGGTTATTTAAGTGTCAAGGTATGGCCCCTAGAACATTTGCTCGTCTCTTTTCTGTGCTAAAAGACAGATTCCGCATCCCATGGCGGGGAGGTGCCCGACAGCTCAATATTGACTCGATCATCCCTATCATTCTGCTCCCGGCTCTAGGCTACATAGCTGCTCAAGGAGTGTGGATATCCGTCGTAGTATTTACATCGCTTCCGATATTTCTCATCTACACACATTACATATTCATGAGAATTTCTTCTCAGACAAAGTTCTTCTACGTTTGGACTCTAGTGTCAGTGATACTGATTGTGAGTGTGTTCGAGGTGCCCGTGGTGGTCACTTTAGACATTCAGCCGGAAGAACACAAGATGTTTTTATTATTTACAATCTTGATGGTCTTTTGCGGTGTAAAAACTCGACTAACTGCTGAACAGTCGCATGTCAAAGGTGATGTTAAGATAGATGAGAGTTTACTAGAGTGCGCAGTGTGTCACAAAAGCGTTCTGCCGAGAACGTTTCACTGCTGCATTTGTCGGACGTGTATCATCAAGAGAGATCAGCACTGTGCCTGGTGAGTCGATGTTCTTACTTTACGACTAAACAGTTTGCGTTATTTGTACAAATCATGCAATATTTCTAGAAATACTTATTTTATTCATAACCACTTTTGATATATTTGTCCCACAATACAATCTTTAATAATTTAAAAATTAAAAACCTATATTTTCAACTGGTTTTTATTTAAAGCACTAAAATAATGTGGAAAATTTAAGATTTCCAGTATTCAACATATTACTTACCAGTTTAAGCTTAGTAAAAGATGCTTTCCAGGTTAGACTGCTGCATCGGGGAGAGCAATTATCGCTGGTTCATGGCTACATTGGTGACTGCAGTGTGTCAGCTAGCTCTGTGTTCTAACCTCATCCTCACCACGGCCTGTCATCCGTTCACAGTGTTTGCGACGATCATGCTTCCAGACGATTGCAGCGACGTTTACTTCGACATTCTGTGAGTAACGCCGGGTTTAAATACTTTTGTTGATGATTTTAAATTAACAAATATTAAGTTTTGTGTTAACCTCTTTACCACACCATATAGACCAGCTGTCTCCAACCTACAGCCCACAGGGCCACATCCGGCTCATGAACAGGCTATAGAAAAATATAGGCTATGATTTTTTTGTAATTACATACACTGATGACCTCACCATTGCGGCAACAACTGGACAGGCCGCCTGGACACTGGGATTTGTTGGTTGAACAGCCTTTTTGAAAACAACCTTCAAAAGTAAAAAAAAATCTGTGATTTAATTTGACTAATAAAATTATTATTACATTAAATCTTTTTAAATCCTAACTTAGTTGGGCTAATGTAATTTGTTCTATATTGCAGATATGCCACCATTTTTGTGACAGCCCTGTATGCCATCCTTGCCTTGTTGTTCCTGATTGTTCTTCTTCTTCACGAGTGTTGGCTCATTTCCCTCGGGATGACGGGTCACGAGTGGCGCAATGTCTCTGACAGAGTTTGCTGTGGTGTCCGTTCCAACAGGCCATACAGTAAAGGTTTCTTACGCAACTGGACTGATTTCTTTTTAGGTAAATAGGCTAAATAATACATTATTTAAGGTAGTATGTCTGAAGTATTGTATTGTTTTTATATCTTATACTGTTAGTTCCGTAATTGTGTTGCCTTTCCTCAACGGTAAAATCCAATCCAATACCTACAGTAGACTCCTTGTTGCTTGTATCTGTTTGATTCACACTTAGGATGGTTTTAAGTAGAGCCTGGGAGCCAGACTAATTTTCTTAGATTTGGGTAAAAATCGAGTGTTAAATGTTTGTGAGTAATTTTTAGCAACCGAAGGACCATTTAAAAATACCTGTACAATTAAATCGTGAGTAGAGAGTTCCATGCTGAGACGTCGCTGCGAAGTGAGGGCCCTCAATCAGTCTCGTAGTCTTCATGGTGTGGCGGACGAGGTGTTGAGATGATCACAATAATTACACTGAATTTAGAGGAATAAACTATACAAGAGTAAAAAGAGAATATTAGAGCGTTGAGAGAAAGACGTGGTCACTACCATGTCCAAGACACATCTAACCCGACGCTGCTCACTATCTAGCCGGTCGGGGGAGGGGAACATCCCGATCAAAGTTCAATTCTACAGGTGAGCGTATTGAAAATGAAAACTCAAAGGATTGGATTGCTTACAATAAAATAAAATCTTGACCTCGATTCTAATAACTCTAGTAAAAACTAAAATATATATAATTTGTTTGGTTACAGAAATATAAAATAAAATACCCTGCAATGTGCAAATAAAAACCTTTTAAACCTTACATTTTGTACTTAAATATCCAACATCGAGTTGGGTTGAAATGAAAAAAAATAATCAAAAGTATTGGTTGCTTTAAAAAGTATTGATTAAAGAATATTAATTGTAGGTCTTAACTACCATTGGCTTAAATACATTATTGTACATTACATCTTTCAAGGTCACTGCAAAAAGTTTAGAATCTTCTGCAATCACTGAGCCATTATCAAGGTCTCCTATGATCACAACAAAACCTTGAACATCACACTCAGCATACAATTTCTGCGGTCTCAAAAATAAAAACTTGGATCGAAAACCGAGCCACTTGCACATTTCGCATTTCTAACATTACCCGACCCGAGCTTGGGCCGACTTGTTGTCTTGACCGATATGTAATTCAGTATGTATGTTTTTCTAGGTTCTCGCTCAAAACAAATGTCAACAATGATCATATGAAGAAGGAATATCGTGAGGAAATCCCTCAACGTAAGACTCTTAAGAAATGTTCACATATGACTTCTAAAGTCATCGCTACACATCATTCTAGTCGACTGTTTGTCAGTATGAATTGTTGGGTAACTTGTTATGTTACATTTTATAGCATTATGTATTCTCATGGTGAGGTAGCCTCTGGATCACTAAATTTAAGCTAAAAAGTTTTAAGTTACCTGGCTTCGTCAAGTGATCCTTTTTTGGTATTTCACTACTATAGTTTCGGACTTGAAAATAAGTCCATCTTCAGGTTAACAAAAACGTCAATAGGTCATCTGACCAATTTGGTTAGATTCGTCGATACACTTAAAACACATACACGAACACGAAAAACACAAAAAACGAATATAATACTGTAAAAAACTGACCAGTAATCACGGGGGATACGTGTGGCGACGCCGGAAGATGAGTCATGACTGCATGTCCAAGTCCAGTGGATGACGTAATGTCCCTCTCCTGTCCTGACCTTCCTTAACCTTGGTCCGTGTTATCACCGTTGTCTCCGTCAGCTGATAGTTTCATGGCCTTATTGTAAATTATGTTTGACTCAAACGATAACTTCTCATTCAATACAAATTGGGGATTTTGTTTGGACGATTTGTATATTTCATACTCTTCGATCGTGTTCATATAATGTCCTTTATTGCATGTATGGAGGATTTGCAAATTTGTATTTAAATCTGTATAATTATGGTTTGAATCGATCAAATGATTGGCGTAAGCTGAGGTATGTAACACCGTCGATTTGGTTAACAACATATCTACTATAGACGTGAACCCACGCAACATATTAGCGTCCTTTGATATCGTTAATTTGTTTACCAACGTACCAATTGACGAAACTCTGAATATTCTAAAAGATAATCTCTCTAAAAACTCGACATTGCCAAAAGATACACAAATGGAACTCATCGAACTCACTGAGATTGTCTTGAAACAAAATTATTTCGTTTTCGAAAACAAGTTTTACAAACAAGACGAAGGCATGGCAATGGGGTCACCGTTATCGAGCATCTTAACTGAATTATTTCTAAACAAGATTGAAAATGATCACCTTTGGACTGATCGCAACAAACACAGAGACAAAATCATTTTTTACTTCCGTTATGTAGATGATACGATAGTATTTTTTAGAGGCAACAAGAGACAGTTGAACATGTTTGGAACATATCTGAACAGTATCCACAAGAACATTAAATTCACTTTAGAAGAAGAAACAAATGATACTATCAACTTCCTGTACTTAACCATCACAAAAAATCGGGCAGATTCGACTTTAAAATTTACAGAAAACCTACTACTACAGACCAAACCATACATGAATCATCCCATCACCCCCATAGCCAAAAACTCGCCGCATACAATAGTTTCGTACATAGATTACTTTCCATTCCACTAAGCCAAGATAACTACGACAATGAAATCAAAACAATCAAGCATATAGCCGTCTCAAATGGTTATAGCAGTTCAATGATTGATAAATTAATACACAAACACAAAACTAAAATTCCGAAAAATCCAGTGAGTGATAAGAAATATGTATGTACTGAATATGGCGTCTCACTAAACAACGTTGTGCATTCGGAAATGTCAAAAAACAATGTTAAAGTATCGTACAAAACCTCTAACAAACTATCCAACCTACTAAGAAGCCGCAACAATGACCTTATCGATAAAAAAGATAAGACTGGTGTTTACAAAATCACATGTGATGACTGCCCCTCCTTCTACATTGGCCAGACTTCAAGGTCATTTTCAAAACGTTTTAAAGAACATTTACCTAAAAAACATTCTACCTCAGCTTACGCCAATCATTTGATCGATTCAAACCATAATTATACAGATTTAAATACAAATTTGCAAATCCTCCATACATGCAATAAAGGACATTATGAACACGATCGAAGAGTATGAAATATACAAATCGTCCAAACAAAATCCCCAATTTGTATTGAATGAGAAGTTATCGTTTGAGTCAAACATAATTTACAATAAGGCCATGAAACTATCAGCTGACGGAGACAACGGTGATAACACGGACCAAGGTTAAGGAAGGTCAGGACAGGAGAGGGACATTACGTCATCCACTGGACTCGGACATGCAGTCATGACTCATCTTCTGGCGTCGCCACACGTGTCCCCCGTGATTAATTACACTGGCCAGTTTTTTACAGTATTATATTCGTTTTTTGTGTTTTTCGTGTTCGTGTATGTGTTTTAAGTGTATCGACGAATCTAACCAAATTGGTCAGATGACCTATTGACGTTTTTGTTAACCTGAAGATGGACTTATTTTCAAGTCCGAAACTATAGTAGTGAAATACTAAAGAAGGATCACTTGACGAAGCCAGGTAACTTAAAACTTTTTAGATTATGTATTCGTTTAAGTTTTTGCTTTTGCATATATTTGCAATGATTACATTTAGAGGTGGAAGATAAATACTACAGAGAATTAAGGTACTGAGGTCACCGTGTTGTGCATGTGCATACGTACACGCTAGGGCTATATACTTGTGTCAGGCAATGAAGAGCCTGAGTGGCAATCACTCTGTGGAAGTTCCTATCGCAAAGGACACAGGGTCTTCCTTCAGCAGGAGCGTTTTATTACGTGATGAGGAGGGGGGTCAGGAGAAGCTACGGTGTGCGATGTTGGACTTTACCCTAGTCACCAGTGACTAGTGGTAGACACCACAAGTGCACCATTGAATGCACCTCTGTACCTTACTTCTCTGTCTGAACACTTTAAAGATAATTAATGATTGTACCATCAAACTACTTTGGCCAAAGACACTGCTATGGCTAAAAACTTATCCTCGTCCTAGTTTATAGGTAATCATTTAGGTTGATGCGTCTTAAGTCACTTTGTCAGAATTTGTTCTGATGTGGGATTTCTTGGTTATGGACTGTTGAGATTTTTGATAGATAACATTTTCAGGAGCGATTGTCACAAGGTGACTGGGAAAACTAGAATTGAGTTGGGTATTTTTTGTAAAGACTGGGAGTAGATATTGTATTGAACATTATATTAGCAATTACATATTATTGTGGTTAATAATTATAACTAATAACTGTTTTCATCAGTTAACTATGCTATAATGTGCACATATGGCAATCGATAGTCTATAAACTGATTGATATGAACCCCTTACAGTCAAAAAGTACTTAATAAGACACATAATTTGACTTTTTTAGCTCATAGGTTCATTATTGTACAGTATTATTTTTTGTAATACACTACAATACAAGGTCCCACAAGAGAGACAGTCAAGAGTAAACTAATAAAGCATGCTATCTTGTACCTTGAACTGGGTTTTTGGTAGTCGATGAAAACAAATTACCAACATTTAAAACGGCATATTTCTGATGATTTGAAAATTTAAAACCTTAAAAGTCACGTTAGGTATAGAAATCATGGTAGCCTACTCTATGAATAAAGAGGTACATAATTCAAATGCATTAACCTAAAGTTATAATTTCTCTTTTTGATGCTGACTTCTATAACAGTTTGATTTGTTAAATACATTCAGCATTTATATTTTAATTTATAATAAAACTATAAGTTTATCTTTTATTTTGTTAATTAATTTTGTATATATTTATAAATTAATATACTGCTTGACTTCAGTTTTGAAGCAAATAAATACTCTTACAGCAATAGGTACCAAAAAATGTATAACTCGAATACCGTACTGTAATGTAACTTTATTTTTTTACTATACATTTTTTAAGACCTAGGTTATTTACTTTAGAATTAAGTTATTTAGCTTAACCATAATTTAAGAAAATTTGTATTAGTATTTAACGTCCAATAACACAAGACTGATTGTTGGTGGCTTAGATATTTTTTACAGTGTATTTAAATATTGTGGCAGTAAAGAATTTTTTCAAAAATAGCTGGTTAAATATATCATAATTTAATTTTAAAACGCCGTTTCCACATATCATTACTTGATATGTTTGGTTAAATTTAGATGAATCATGGCTTTAAAGTCAAAATATTCGGCCCAGATGTTAATGGTTGATTTATTTATGTGTGAGAAATTAAAATATTCTTTTCCTGCAAAACTCTCTCTGAGTAAGAAAACCCAAAACCCTTATCATTGTGTTTCCATTCATTATGATTTAATAATCACGTAAAAATTCATTTGTAAAATTTAGTAGATTATGGATCTATGAAATGTATTGATGTTAATTAAAATCATGTAAATTTTGACTTGTACAGTTACAAGATATGAATTTTCTTATTGTTAATGTTAGCTATTTTTTTAAAGTCTGGTTAACGTTTAGACTATGTACAAGCACAAGAATGGAAAAGCGAATAGGAATCTAAGTTTTAAAATTAAGTGGCAACTAAAAATATCATAGCCTGATTAAATAAGAAGTAATGTCACCTTTAAGTCCTTTTCACAATGGTTTATAGCTTTAGAAATGAGTTATTTTATGCATAGTGAAAGAACATTTTGAAGACACGTATCAATCTTCTTGTTATTGTTATTGCATTGCTTACTAGGTATCAATGTCACTACTAGGATAACATTTTAAGAACAGCTTGGTTCCTTCTGCTTTTCCGCACAAGTCTTAACTAGGTGTTAAAGTGTTAAGTAGGTAAATCTATTATGTAATTGTGCACAAATTAGGACATTGTATAAGCACAAAATGGTTAAGCTACAGCAAAACTTGTGCTTTATTCCTGAATGAGGAGCTGTGATTTTAAAATATCTTTAGTAAATAGGCCTAAAGAACTGCAGTAGGGTTTTTATAAATGTTTAAAACTCGCTATTAATATATTTATTTTGTTATTTGTGTAGGAAGTGCCTATAAAATATATTACTTTAAGAATTTGATAAGTGTTTTCTCATTTTCCAGATAAGTTGTACATATTTTTGGTTAATAAACAACTTTTCACCTTAAAGTTTTAGTAGTGTTCAATTCTTCTACTCAACATAAAAACAGAGGAAGTGATGAATTATGGTTGAAGAGCCAGCCGTAGACTTATGCAAAAGGTGCGCCCGCACAGGTATACTTAGTGCAAAATGTAAAAAAAATGATTGTGAATTTTATGTCAATTATGAAAAATGTAAAAGAGAGAAGTAATACTAATATTACACATTGAGATGTTTGTTATTATTGTTGGGATTAGACATTTTTGGTAGTAAGGGGCTCCGCACCGCCCAAGACCAGCTCTGGGTTGAATGTAGGGAAGAGGGCTAAGAGGTGAGTAGGAAATCTATTTCGCCAAAGCCTACGGTTTCTCTACCACTACTATGCGTTGTTTTAATTTCCGTTTTACTCTGAATTTTTATACGAGACTCCAGTGTATGAAATATACAAAATTTACTTAGGTAATATTTATTTGCTAATAATTAGGGTAATCAGAGTAGGGCTTGGGTGGTTGGGGCTGGTAAGAGTAGTTGTACGCAGGATACTGATTGTACGGGGTTTGAGATTGTCTGGAGGGAGTGTTGTACGAAGGCGCAGCCCCGTAGGAATAAGAAGGAGCCCCATAAGGAGGAGCGTAGGGTGGGGGTGCTCCATATGGAGGTGGAGCAGCCCCATAAGTCTGTGGAGCACTGTAACTCTGCGGAGGTGCTTGTGCTCCATAATACGGGGGTGCTCCGTATGATGGTGCCCCTCTGGCAGCGGGGGGCTTGTAGGGACCAGGGGGAGGGGGACCTCCGGCTCCCCCGTATTGGGGACTGTAGGGACTCTCTATGATGAACACAGGTCCTTTGGACTGGATGGAAACTGTGTAGCCTGCTCCAAATCTGCCCTCTGAAACAATGTATTCATGATAATTGTGACACAAAAATAGGAAGTAAACATTAATTTTATTTTTTAGTGAATAAGCCCCAGGGAAGAAGCTATTTTTTACAGGTTTTTTTTTCACAATCCAAACCTTAGTTGTGTTAGGTCTAGCATCATATTTAGACATTTTGATAGACAGCATAATTTATTGATAGTTCAATGACAGAGGTCTACAACCTCTCTTGAGATGGAATCAACCTTCAGATTTGAAAGTGAGCACTATATCCGCTTGGCTGCCTAGACAATTGTTTAATTTATGAAAAAAAATTGGTTCATTACGAATCCACTACACAATCCCTACACACTACACTACACAATCACATTTGTTACAGATTTTCTATTCAGCATTAGTGTAAGCAAGGCCACACTAAAAAAACAGGCCGTAATGCTCGTCAAGCATGACGTCACGATAGATGACGGCAATGACATAATGTTTGCCGTTTGTGATCAGCTGCTTGTTTTAAATTTTCCTTGGAAAATAAATAAATAAATACCTATGTCATTGCCGCCTTCTATCGTGATGTCATGCTTGACAAGCATTACGGCCTATTTTTTTAGTGTGGTCTTGGTGTAAGTGAACAAAAACATTATAACATGGTAATATATGTTTACATGTCTTTCTTTTTGTTGCAAAACGTAGAAGCGTTTTATTATTAACGTTTATTATTATAAGTCACCTCGTATCTTGTCTGACTTGTATCTTCTTTTCAAACTTTTTATGAAGCGTTCGTACAGAGACTTGGACCTGCGGGCGCCCATCGCCTGATAGAAGAACGGTTTGTCCAAGTACACCATAGAGTACAGGCTGATCTGGCTGAGGATCAGCAACTCCTGACCTTTGTCCATCACCGTCCGAGTCCATCTCTGCGTGCTGTGTTCTGCGTGGTAGAATCTCGTCGTCAGAAGGGTGTTGACCCTGCAAAACTCATAAAAATCGGCAACCTGATACAGCAACTGTAGGTTATGAAAAAGCTTGTTTGCGATTTGTGTAACTAATTACCTAATGAAAATAATAAATCTTGTATTGCAATTTGGTTAAGAGGAAATATTTTAATGAAGTTTTCACCGGGGAGACATCTTTTTTGGAACAAAGCTGGTTTCTAGTCTCCATGTTGATAAGAAATTGGATACTTATAAAAGGGGCTCAGATAAATCAGTTGGCGAGTGTTAAACTTGCAGCAAGCATTCTTACGGTACATAAAAAAAAATCAATCATGAGTTTCTTGTGCTCTCAACAAAGCCATCAAACAATTTTACATTGCATGATAAATATTTGAAAGGTTTAAATCATTGCTTTTTAGAATGAGTAAATTCTTTTAAAATGTGTTCAAATAGTGTAAATTAATCAGAGTTGTAATTTTGTGGGTAGTGTGGAAGTAAGTTTTGTGCAACTCATCCGGAAAGATGTTTACTCACATTATACCCTGTGCCAGGTTTGCCGAGCGCAAGAACTATCATGCTTGCACCATAGACATCTACTTCCCGGTCTTGTAGCCTAATGTATATTACTATCTGTTAAATTTGTTTTTTAATGATGAAAAAGAAACTTTATAAAATATTTTAAAGCCAATTCTGATACAGCTGTCAACTGACCTAAACAAATAATTAAACTACCTTAACTCACATGTAATTTAGATCATCGTTAGTGTCTTGGGCCCCAAAGCCAATCCAAGCCACCAATCCAGTGCCGATGGCAGACACCACCAAGTCATCAACTATAATCATTGTTAGTTTTTAATATACTGTATTTTAGGCTACTTTTTTGAAAACTTATAACGACCTCATAGGAGCGACAACCACGTCTAGGCTTGACAATGACACCATAAGTGTGTCGAAACCGGTAGCCATTAAGACTGCCAAGGATTACATTGGTAACAAGGTATTTAACCTCTAAATTAGTAAGTAATCCGGAAGGCAACACCTCAGAAATTAAACTTGATTGAGTTTGCAAACCAGCATGATCGGACCATGGGAATGGGATTTTATGCGGTAAAAATGGGGGTTTCCCATTTTTTTTCATCAAAATAATAAATTTGCAATTTCTATCCAATACATTTTTTAGAGATTAAAAAACAAATAATTTATTATATTGAAGTGTTTTCATGCACTTAATGGTTATGGAGAAAATTTAAAAAGTGTAAATTAAAAATGTCAATTGTTAATGGATATATTTTTATCAAACTTATTAATTTTATACTAAGCTATTAATATTTAATATTTTACAAAAAAAAAAACAGACTTTATTATCCTCCCTGTAGCAGCAAACCTAGGTAGGTACTTATTAAACCTAATGTTACATAAATAGAAAAAAAAAATCAGGCAAATGGAAATTCACTTAGTCTGCAGGCTCGCTGCAGTAAGGGTATTTACCTCATCTTACTATGAGTGTGTTTACCAAGAAATTGTTTGATGAGAATTCAAATTTCTATAAAATTAAGAGAACATTCAATTAGGGTTACTTAAATCAATGAATGATTCCTGGAACCCAAAAGGGTCATTGAAAAAAATGAAGTTAACTACCATGGAAAGGCTTTAGTTTAAGCATAAGAAAACTTTTATAGATCCTAGAATAAAATAACTTACAACAAAACAAAAAATAGTTTCTTAAATCCTGTAGTGTTAAAATAAAATTGTATATTCAGTTACCAACCTGTGACCGTAGCATTTTGCACTCTTTGTAGAACAGCTCTCATTTTTCTAAAACACTGTAGTCTTTAACACACCCACTCACAGGTTATATTTTTTGATTACACTAACAAACTACAAACGAGGCATTCCACATTACGTAATGAATGGAATGGACAGTCTTGCTCCCTTGATAAGAGTTTATTAGCATTGTTCTTGTCAGGTGGACGTTAAATTGAACTAATGATAGTAAAACTGCAATTAATTTTATGTAATTGTTTGTTTTGATGTTAAGTAAATGTTAAAGATGTGTAAATACTTATATTTATAAGGCAAAATAGTATTCAAAGGTGATGATTTCTGCTTTGAATACAAAATTGTATGTTGAATTACGGTTCTTAGATAACTTACAAAGGTAATGGATTCTGTTATAAGTAATTTATTTAAGTAAGTTTATTCATTTCATCGGAGCAGTAACACACTTGCTAATTTGTATTTAAATCTGAATGTATAATGCTGTCATGTAGAATGAAAGTAAGGTGCAATTAAGAACTTTGAACCAAAATGAATGATTGAACAGAAACAACTACCGGTAATAAATAACTAAACAAAATAACTTACTGGATGAGCTGGTGTATATCTATAAAATCTTGTATCATTATCTTTTACTATACAGTATAAGAGCATACAAAAAATTACTTTTTGCATTCTTTTGAAAAATATACGTTACAAAAGTACTTGAACAACGAATTAAAATAACACATCTGCCAGTCAAAACGGGTTTCTTTTTAAAATTTGAAAAAGACTCAATATTATGCCATTACAATGCAATTGTGACAAATCAGTTCTATTATAAGAAGTCAGTTGTATTAGACCAAGCCCGCAAAAAATCATAAAAAATAACAGAGGATTTTAATTCAAAACCCATAACACTCCTGGGCGCTGGTTTCCTTTTGTTACGAACAATTCTACCAAGTATGAATTAGATGACTTTTAACCTTTATCGGGAATTGTTTTTGGCGATGGTTTGCGATTAACAAAGTAAAACATTAGGAGAGGAATTTGTTGCGGTCATTATCAAACAGCAAGTTGTGTAACTCCTTTGGTTCTTGGTCTCTAGCACAAAGCTTGTTAGAAATACTACACCCAGCAGTGGTTCCCAAATGCTTGGTTCCACCAATGTCTTATCTCTGCCACTATCAGCAATGTTATCAAGATGTTATCAGTGACAGTGTAGTGGCGGTGAGATGAGAGCCGTCGTGCAGAGAGTTCTTGAAACTCAGATCAGAGGTAACCAAACACAACTTAAGTAATCTGATAGCAAGTTTTGTTTCAAACAAAACATTTATCTGTCAAACGTTTTCGATTGTCCTAGTACACAAACTTGATGGTTCAAATGCATATCAAGTTTTTAACCTCTAGTGCTTGCAACTTGCAAATCAGTCGCTATGATAGTTGAAATTATCTTACTAGATTTATAATATGTATTTGTTGTTTTTATAATCATTCCTCATGTTATCTGGTTGAAACTGTGTGATTATTTTGACACTATTGTACAATGAACGTACAAATGAATAAAGATATTTGAATTGAATTGAAAAAAATAAGATTGTTATGAAGAAGAGGGATTAAACTTCTAAATGGATAATGTTAACATATTCAACAAAACCGGAAGACACTGAGTTGAGTCTTTAACACTTATTTTTGACAAAGTATAGTCAACTACAATATGATTTTCTTCCCATCGTTTTTGTTTTTGGTGAGTTGACATCAAATACACAATTACATGTATGAGGTAGAAAATCTTTTGCTATCAAGCCAGCTCCTGCTAGATGCTATTCTTGGCTACTCTATACACGACATAAACATCGGAAAAGGTGGATCATTTTGTGATAAAAGGGATAAACACAGCGTTTAATAGTTAGTGGAGGAAATCTACAAAATTTGTTGATTTAACCTTCTCACATAAAAATCTATCAGCATTGAACAAAATATTTAATAGGATGTCAATAATGTTTCAGATGGTAATTTCATCACCAGCACAGTGACGCTTGGACTGTGTATCTCTGTCACATTTCACAAGAATGATTCTATAGAGGATCTTAATTATATGTAAGGAAAATATTATATTATATCTTGCTCTATTACATATAACTGACTCAAGACACCTGAACCTTGATTGTTTTGACACAACTCTGCGTACAATAATTTCTTAGTTTACTTAGAAATTAGTAAAATGAGTGTGTTGAGAAATTGTGTTTATGTTTATATATTTACTATTACACTTTTTAAGTTTTTATATAACATTGACGATGGATTTATACTTACATTTGATGTATTCCAAACCTTGACAATGGATCTTGTCAACAATTCCATTCTTGGTTATAATAATTCAATAATTGCTTCATTTCCAACGTTAATATAAGGTTTTTCAACAATATCTATGACTTCACAACTTTATTATATATTCTACGTTTATCAGTTAAGTTTATTCAGTTTCAACGGTTTTCCTTTTCTAGGGCCAAAAAGGTACTGAACCTTAAACTTTTCAATGACAACCTATCAAACAAACCTTGGAAGATGGACATCAGGCAGAAAGGCTATGGAATAACGGTTCTAAAAGAGAAAAGGCTCATATCAGGGTTTAACGGATCTCAACCTATCTTTGATGACGCAATGGAAACTCGATTTGCTTACAAGTTCTACAAAATGTTCATCAAGTTGCTGCGTCAACTTCACGACTCTAAACTCGTTAAAGGTAATACTAGTACTATTCTCAGGCACTACATTTTCTGTTTAAGTTATCAATCTTTTTCACCTTTTTGCTTGTGACTCAAACTACCTATATTTAGCAAAACACAGGCTAAGAAAATGCAGATAATAAGAAATAGTACATTTGAAAAGTTAAAGGTTTAAAAACATTATGATACACTTTTATCTGTAGGATGATAAAATACGTCGTCCTGTAATCCAGCTACTAGGAGGTCACGAATTGTGGATATCTATAGGCATGCACTGAGGATGCGATGCTCCCTGGTGTGGATTAACGTCCGCACGAGTGAGTACGACGACTATCCGCAGTACTATCCTGATAATTAGACCAATTCGACTAAGGCAGAAATGTGGTTCGGATTCCACTATAAACTGTAGGTCCCTTTTAGTTGTCATTAGCTGAATGGGCTATTAATTAACAGCTGTTTCTAAGGATATGTCGGCCTTAGTCACTAACAAGACTACAAGATCGCGCCACTCATCTCCATTCATACTTAAAATACCTACCTTGGTCGCCATTTCATTGAAAAGTATTAAGTATTAATGATTTTTAAAATCATGTTCTTAATAAATCTATGGTGTGAGTTGGTGAGTACCAAAATACACCAGATCATAACTTAACTTACGTAAGGGATTCTTAGCAAATATGACCTCTTTTACAAGAGTTTAATATTTGACAAGTTTTACGTTTCAATTTAATATTTCAACTTCAAAATATTTGCAGGAACTTCATTCCGAAAGCCAGTCAGAGTCAATATAATTCACGACGGACCAGCTATATTCGTTCTTCACTCACCTAAAAATATGAAACGATCGCCAAGAGAAAAGTTTATAGCAGCGTACGGTATGAAATATTTTGTTGATTAAAATTGAATTTACTTTCTCAAGTTTAAATTCATTACCCTTTAATTTCTGAACCCCAAATATTTATAGGGATATATTATATTGCAAGGATCTATGTAACACTAATGAACAAACCGCACAAGGCACTAAAAACAATATGACTACAAGACCTATTTATTAGCAAGCACTCTTTTGTACAGAACAACATTGTCCGAGAGAAGTGACGTGGTTTCATTGACAGAAAGTCTTCTCATGTCATCCCAAGATCTCTCAGCCAAAGGTATACTCAGTTTGTCCAACAGTGGCTGCGCAATCTGCGGAACTATAGGCTGCAGAGCGATTCCGCAGACCCGCAGTGTCTCCATAGTAACGTGAAGCACACAGTTAAGGTGGTCTGCACAATCTGCAGATTTACGCAGCTTCCATGGCTGGTTTGTTTCAAAAAACTTATTCGCCTCGTGAAGACAAGATATGATCACATCTACACCTTTGTAGTAGTTGAAATTTCCATAGTGTTCTCCGACGAGATCTGGAAAATCAGTGTAGATTAAACTGCTGTTCTAAGTACAGTTGCCCAAAAGTTTGGTGCCCAAAAGACCAAAATAAAATAAAAATAGACTACACAATCCAACACACAGTATTTAAAATTCAAATCTCCCACAAATATTTTTTATTTTGCACAATGAATAAAATGCCATTGTAATTTAATGTAAAATTCAGGTAAAACATTAATTCCAATGTTATTTTGGTAATTCTAGGAAATAACGTTAAATGACTTAACATCACTGCCAGTCATATTTAAGATTGATAATTTCTTTGGAATACAGTATTTTATAATCAGGGATTTGCTTAGAAAAAATTCATAAATAATAAAATAAATTATTTCAACAGATATATGCCTACTTTGAGTTATACAATTTTAGTCTTGTAATAGGCTGTATGCCGAATACCCCCACCACAGCAAACCTGCAGATAGCATTAATTTTAACGAGTACTTAGGTTTGTTGTTGCAAGGAAAATAATAAGGTGTGTTTTTATTGAAATGTTGATTGCTTAGTTTTAAATAAACAAATTTGCCAAATTCTGTCAAAATAAAATATATCCATACAATCAATCTACAACAGTTTAGTTTATTTATTCTTCATAACAATATAATGGGAATTCATGATTTACATTTTTTTTTACATTCCTTCATAGTTATTTGGCATACAACAACACTTCAAGATACTAAATTATTTATTTTTTCAATGCCTACAAAATTATTTGGAAAAAGATTGTGAAATTTTACGTTTTTAGGGTCAAAAATGGGACTCTTATATAGCTTATTCCCTATATGAGAAATTCGCTAAAATATAACCAATCCACTCAAAATTGCAGGTCTTGGTAACTTGAACTTCTAAAGGCATTTTAGTTTGTAAATAGCAGACTACAAAGCAACAATAATAACACTGCCGTTGGGTAAGGGTAATTTTTACTGTTAAAAATCTGAGCAAGCCATTGTTATTTATTGTAACCCAATGAATTATATTAAAACATTACAATCCTCAATCTAATTCATTAATCATGATTTTGATGTAAGAACATTTTGCTTTTTTAGTCTTCTTGGACAAGATTCACAGCAATTTTCTATTTCTAGACAACATTTGGAAAAAGATTAAAATGTTAATTTTATCAGATGAAGCATGGCCAACGTTGCGATGCATACATTAAATAATCAGATTAAATTAAATTAGGTAGGTACCAGAATCAAAACCAACCTGGTATTCTTTGAAGAGATTCAACTAAACCACTAGCCTCCTTCTCGCAGTATTGCTTGTAATGTTCAGGGTTAAATGCGGGGAAGTGTTGGTTTGCGTTGACAGTTTTACCTGTGCATCGGTTAAGTAGGTTCCCCAAAGTGTCAGCTAACTCAGCGTTCAGTTTACGTAATACTTTTTCATTGCTGTAATCTAAAAAGTTATACGAAATTAACATATTTGTAAGCCATTTACGGGGTTGCTCAATTTCTACTAGTCAATATTTCAATGAGCTAACTTTTTTGCGCTCAGTGTGGAAGATGGTAAGTACGTAAGCACTAAAGCTGCCATCTTAAACTCTACCCACTACATGTGATTTACTCGAGCCGCTCTTTGTAACATCACAATTGAGCAATATTTGACTATTGACAGAACTAGACTTACCGTGTTAAAAAAATTGTTACCAGTTTTTTTAAATGTAGTTGTTGTGATTGACAGATATCACTGATGTAAGTACTGTTTTTTGTCGCATATTCTGATTTTTTAACAAAGTCAAACTGATATGGTGACTTGTTATAAGATACAGCAACTGTTATGTCATGTCTAATATCTATAATATTAAAACAAAACAGTGTTTTTTTATTTCACGATTCTGAATCAACCACTCGACGGATTTTCATGATTTTTGTGTTGAAAGAAAGATAATTTTGAGAACTAGGGAATGTTGAAGCCATAATTTTAGTTTAGGGTCCCAGTTTTTTAGAAATTAAGTTTGAATTTTTAAAAAGTCTAGCAGCCGACGCTAAGATTCTAAACTAGCTTTTGGCATAAAATAATTTGCTTAACATAACAGCTGGTAATATTCAGCTTTTGTGTCACAAATTCAGCATTTGGATAATAATTACATGCATAGGGTTGACTTATTTATACTATGTGTAATGCTATGCTCATTGATACGTCCATTTTATGGGTAAGAGGATGGCAGACTATTTAAATATTCATGGTAAAATGATAGATGTTCTAATTTATTTTTTAGAGCAATCTTTAAAATTTAAAATTTGTTTTAGTGCAATATAATTTGTTTTAACTAACAGAAAGTTGTCTTTCAAACTAACAGGTTAGTTTATTATTCTGGGATGTTGGCATTGAATATAGAAAATAAGTAAGATTCAAGATTCTATAACCACTGATGTATACAAATCAAAGCTCTGCCCCCCGAGTATTCAAAGGAAAAATTATGCAAATTATTTTTCTGTTCGACTTTTTGAGGAAAGAATAGGAAAATAACAATGTGTACATGTTTTAATTCATCTTGGCAGCTTTTTGTTTACAGGAAATGGTTAACTGCTTGAACTTTGCTTGGATTAGAAATGGAAATATTAATATAATTTCAGTTTTAGTTGACTTTTCAATCTCGTACGTAGGATGGGCCAACAGCTCGTCTCAGTTAAGTAGAAAATAGAATGTTATAATGCCTAATTATGCTCAAGCTTTGACTGGCTCACAGAACTATATATTCGTTTTGAAAAGTTGGCAACAGCTGGCGAGTATGCTGAATCACTGGATACTCCATTGTAGAAAGCCCTAATGGCATGATTTTTGGAACCTAGCCTGTAGTAATATGCTGAACAGTCCCAGGCTAGCTCTCCTAGCAAGGAGATGGGTTTCAGAGTAGCTTTGGCAAGTCAAACACTCCTCCTCCTCCCCCCCCCCAAAAAAAAAACATCAAAACACCAAAACATTTCAATTGGGTTTCAAAAGATTACCAGTTTAACAACAACTTTATTACTTACTAGCATCACTGTGTAGAGTTCCCTCTCGTAGGAGGAAGTAGCGAAGTCCGGCCGCCGAAAAGTCCTTAGCGGCCACAACTGGGGACACAACATTGCCGAGGGTTTTGGACATCTTCTCATCATCCACTGTCCAATGAGAGTGGACTACGAGGGAGGAGGGGGGCTCGAGTCCAGCACCAATCAGGAATGCCGGCCAGTAAACTCCATGGAACCTGTGTGTAATGTTCCGTTCACTGAGGGGAAAGACAGGTGAACTGAAGGGAGAAAGTGTTGTAAAGATAGATTAACCAATTGCTGAGTTTGTGTTTTAGTTTAATATTTCAATTAAATATTTACCCGGTCTAACAACAAGCGTATAACATCTAATTCATTTTCAGTTTTTCACTGTAAATTTGTTTGAGTTTCAAAATGTTTCAGTAACTTTAGCTGATCCTTGAACGATTTCATAACACAACAAGCCTTCTTTGGACACAAATATTTTGACTTCTACTAAAACTGAACCAGTCTGCGATAAAAGTATTGACTTTGTGCTGTGTGATGTGTACGGAAAAAGGTTTTGGTGCTTTACCTGTGTACCGTCACGGCCCCCTTTAACTACAGGCCGCGGCCAGCGAGAATTGGCAACGTCGCACTGAGTATTAACTCCCGGCCATTTCACCATTACGGTAGTACGAAACTAGTGGTCGCGGTTTAAATATACTGCATTTTTACACCCTTACAATTGAGATAAAATTTTGAAATTTTATACGGAGTTAGGGAATAAACCCTTTGTGCCAATGGTATGGTTTTGAAAATTAAAATTTTATTTGGTAGTACATATATGTATTTTTAAAATTAGCACATTAGAAAATTTTTGGAACAGTGAAGTGAAAAAGTTAGTCGCCTACTAAAATTTTTGTTTGTTGGTCAGAGAAGTTTCGTCTGTGAGAAAGTTGTAGATAATTAAATATACTTTAAGTTTTGTATTTAACTTTTCTTTCTATCATGCTTAGTTTTATTAAAATTTTGGGTTGAACATAGTGACCAAATCTCAGTTTTATGCCGCGGCGCGGCGAGTAGCGCTGCTCGCAACTGTATTGTATTATCGCATAGCTAATAATTAATTAATGTAGGCCAACTCAATTATTTCAAGCATTTTAATATGCCTTTTGGTTATCCACAAGAATATTACTTTTGTATCAAATACTTCACGACTTAATGTCTTCATAATTAAATACCGTAGCCTAAAACAAAAATGCCTTTTCCTTTTAGTTTTAATAATTTGCTGTAGTTTATTATGAATTTTAAGTATGTGTTTTATTTACACGTTATTATGTAGTATTATGAGAAATAAAAACATTACTCCATTCATTCTGTTATTGCGCAACCATTAATAACTAATCCATTGATAATATTCTTGCAACAGACAATCGGAAGGTGGGGCACCCGAAAACTTTTAATTTAGCGCTCATCAACCAATAGTGGCGTGGCGACCACCATCTTCATTGAATTAGGTGGAATTAGCGAATAAC